ATGTGTCAACATGTGCTTTCCTAACGAACAATAAAATGTCATTTGCATTTCCACCGATTTGGAACATTGTGTGACTAGTACAATCTTGATTTAGAAGTTTGCATCAATGATCCTTCTCCTTGCAAAATGATGAGTATCTCTTTCAAATCTTTAAAGTCGAATTATTTTTTCCAAAATGGGAACCTTAAAACTACATTTCAAATTTTCATGTTAAGCCATGAGATTTCCATATTAAGCCATTATATGCACCCCACTGGTGCCGAGTGGTTATAAGCACCCTACTGGTGCCATAATTTGTGCAATCCACTCATATTGAGAGTGTGCACATTTTACCATAATCGAGAGCATAAACACCCACTGGGGTCAACTGTTTACTTAGCTAAATAGTCAAAGGGTGTAACGGGGATACGACACTAGGCTGCTTATAGAAGCTTGTCACTACCCTAACCAATGTCCTCTATCAAATTAAGGCTCGGCTAGAAAGGAGGTTGAGTAGGCAAATCATAGTCCATAAGCACCGATATGCCGACATCATAATAGCCAAATTCCCACAAAGCCCTAACAGCCAGAAGATTGAGGAGGTTGAATGATCCAATTACTCACATCATCAGTTGAGGTTTTAATGAGACAAAAAGCCCTATTGTCCAAATGCCTACATGCCTAAGTCCGAATTGTGGGCTATTCAAGCAGAAAAAGCATTCGAACAATGCGTGCCAGCACCAGATATCTCGCTTCTTCACGAAAGGAATGACCAAGTGGCCTAGCCAACAAGGAGGACCACTCACAAAGATTGATATATTGACAAATCTCCCAACAACTTCATGCTCGTATACAAAAATCAAAAGCGTCAAAATAGCAATATGTATGGGGGCATAGCAAAGCCAAGTAAGTCCCACAAAAAAAAAGAGGATGAAAAAAAAAAAAAGAAAAAGCCAAAAAGGCATGAAAAAAACACACACAAAAAAAAAGATATTGTGGGACTTACACATTAGAATGCCCCTACATGAGCACTTGGAGTCAGAACCACTCAAACTCATCACATGCTATCTTCTCTAAAAGGACAAAAGAATGATTTCGAGTTCACCTTCAACATGGTCAAGAGCGCAATGTATGACCATCCTCCAACCAACATAATTAATACTCCAAAGCGAGCTATGACCAAATCAATCAACTTTCCAAATCAAATGGCATTCACCCTCCAAGTCTAAAGAAATAACGCAAGAAAACCTTGAATAAGATGGGGATCCCAAGACAAGAATGTTTGCTTGATCTAAAATCCAGCCCCATGATCATCCTCATTATCAATCACTTGAAGTCTCGCATTCAAGTCAAACAAGAATCCCCTTGATATAAGACTTTGACGACCATCACTACACCGTACAAGGGTTTTCAGCATTCATCATTTCGAGATCCGATGAGAAGTCAAAGTTTGTGTCATACCCATATCTCATTACCCTTCCTTTTGAGGTCAAACATGGATCTCAACAAATGAGAATATTTCCATAATCGAATTTTCTACTCAAATGATCTTGGATACTGATTACTCAACCCCACCTCTCCGAACCAAGTTTCAAGACAAGGGGGCAACTTGAGCCAAATATATATCCACAAAGATGCCCGAGATGAGCCACCATTCTCAATGAAAATGAAACTTCCTCGACAAAGATCTCCTCAATCCATCAGTCGATCTCATACTTTGGGGGCAAGCCAAATATCCCTCCACAAGAAACTTTTTACGACAAGAAGGGATTATCTCATATTTCCATCAACCCGTCTCATACCTTGGGGATAAGCCAAATATCCCTCAACACGAAGTTTCACATGACTAAAGTCAAATTCCATATACATTTCCTTTACCCGCCTCCCATTTGGGGAAAGTAAACTTCTCAAAACACGAGAACTCTTACGATTGGAACCCATATAGAAAAAGAGCCTCGTTTCTAGAAAATTCAAGAAATCCCACAACAAGACCATACAGAGATTACATAGAATCTCCATGATCGTCAACTTATACCTCCGACAGATTTTTCCATCAACTTGGCGACAAGAATCTTGATAGTAGCCAAAGTGTCGTATACTCGAAGCACCCATAGGAATGAGTGTGAGCGAAATTGAGCGTGAGAATGAAAGTGGTGGCTTGTGAATATTCTCATGGCTTGACTTCCGAAAAGAACGAATTTTTAAACAAGGTGACAATAACCACACAAGAAATCATTTTTCTCATATTGCACAATGCACACAATTCCCCCAGCAAGGCTTTGATTTCAAAAGTCAAGTTCCCATTTAATCCTCTTAAATGATTTTTTTTTCAAACATTGTTTGCATTCATCTTAAGTCAAGATTGGTAAAAGTCACACTTTGTTCCGAAGAATGGAAGGCGAATAACACATTCTCGGGGGCAAGATAGTGCCACTCGGAAAGAAAGAAGAAAGTGGTTCTCCAAACCCACCAAATCATGAGTAAATGGGAAATCTCGTAGATCTTGAATCATTTTTGTTCAAGATACCCCACCAATCAATCAAACTATCCGTCAACCAAGTATTTTTGTACCTCATACCTCCCGATGAGGTCAATCAAGCATGTCTAGAAAACCGACATCAACAAGACAATATCCAGAGATAACAAATTTCTCTTATCCAAGCACGACATGCTCACATGGCAAGAAGATCAAGCAAACTAAATGAGCACATTATCCTGTGACCAGTATGCTACAAAATCCTCCCATAGAAACAACCTACCAGGCACATCCCATGAAAAGATCATATGGCTAAATACATCAGCCACCCAAGAATCAATGTCCAAGGTGTTACAAAATCCTCTTACAGAAACAACCTACCAAGCACATCCCATGAAAAGATCATATGGCTAATACATCAGCCACCCAAGAATCAATGTCCAAGGTGGAGAAAACAGAAGACCAACCTTCCATCAATCCCCATAAGCGACATACCTTGTGCTCACTGAGTATATAAAAGAGGATAAACTAGATGGCAAGCCCAGTACCTCGAGATAGTGACACACACCAACGAAATAAAGTACCCATGCCGGCAGTATGCTACCCCATCGCGAGCACAACCAAGGATCAATTTTACTAAAAGGGAATGACATATTTTCCTTGTGGATGATTGATTTTAGAGAATCCATGAAAAAAAAACATCAAGACCATGATGAGGGATTATACTCTTTCTTTTGCATACCATCGAGACATCATCCTATAACCCATCATACAACCTTTTTCGAAAGCACTTCACACGCATCGAATGACATCATTCTTGATGCACTTCAAACTAATCATATGGCATCATCTATAAAAAAATTCATAGCCAAATTAAATATCATTCATTCTCAAAATTCATTTAAAGTAGATGTACCCTTCCAACATATCTCATCACAATATTGCATCATATCATATCACAAAATACCTTGCATTTGCACATGTGGGGAAGTCAAAATTCAAATCTTTACCAATATCAAGTTTGTCACATACCTTAGATCTACCTAAGACCACCAATTGCTTGTTTCAACCACTCATGTCAATCACAAAAAATCTATACCACTCGTGATCAAGTTAAACTTTCACATCTCCTCGTGAATTTTACCGCCATGATACACGTGATCAAACAGGCTATACCGCCACGAATAAAAATCCAAAATCAGGCTCTATCACCACAAAATCTCAAATCTGGCTATATCGCCACGGGAACAAGATAACCTCAAATCAGGCTATGCCGCCATGCAGAACCCAAAGCAGGCTATACCGCCATTCAAAAAATATTAAAAAAACAGGCTATACCGCCTTACAAAAAAATAACGCAGGCTATACCGCCAAACAAAAATCAAAGTAGGCTATACTGCCATATAAAAAGAATCTAAATCAGGTTATACCGCTACCGGATCATTAACAAACAAAACCAGGCTATATCGCCACAAGACTAAAAACAAGTCAAGCTATACCGCCATTGGACCAAAAACCCAAATCAGGTTATACTGCCATGGAAAACACTCCTAAAACGGGCTATACCGACATGAAACCAGAAAACTCTAGTCAGGCTATACCGCCACGAAACCTAAATACCAACTCAGGCCCTACCGCCAAAATACCAAATACCAACTCAGGCCCTACCGCCAAGATAACTAAATGCCAACTCGGGCCCTACCGCCAAGATACCTAAATAGCAACTCAGGTCCTACTTCCAAATTACCTGAAAACCAACTCAGACCATATCGCCACACATAAACCAAACCAGCTTATACGACTACAGGCAAAAACCCCAGGTCAGGCTATAACGCCATGGGGGCAACATAGACCAAAATCAGGCTATACCGCCATGGGACCACGAATCCCAACTAGGTTGGACCACCATGTTAGCAAAACCCAAATCAGGTTCTACCTCCATGGGACAAAAAAACTAAACAAGTCCATACTCTAAACCAGGCCATACCACCGTGAGAGTAAGCAAGTCCTTTTTGCTATACCGGATGGGAACAAACAAGTTATATCGTCGCTTGAAATGATTGATACTTTGTTTAGCTTCTAACAATATCTAAATCGACAAAAATGGTGTTTTAAGATAACTTTGTATACCTCTCAAATACCAAGAGATATACAAAGGGGGGCAACTGTAGACACCACTTTTTGTCCGGGTTAAAATCTTTTTACTTAAATAAAATTTAGTTTTTATTGAAGATTTGCAATAGCGAGTTAATTGATTTTCAAACTAAAATATATTGATAGTGCTTGAGACGGTCGTGTTCGCATTAACTCTATGAGATAAGAAATAGCAAATCTCGATTGATAGAGTCAAGTTGAGGATAGAGTCAAGTTGATGTTTAAGACATTCACTCGGCTTGGGTTAGTGGGGTTTCGATTTTCATGTTTTGGTTTGGTTAAGCGAATTAACCAATTGATTAATCTCATTGTCATGACCAATAACAATTGAATTGGACGTTGGAGTTGAGAACAATAAAATATGATGAGAAGGTTAAACAGAAATTACCCTTAACATAAGTTTTGATTACTAAATAACAATTATAACTATGACTAGTAATCAGTTACAATTACATAGACCCTTTCATTAAACAAAGATTACAAATTACAAATTTTATTACAAGGGATCAAAACCTAAGCCCAAGTCAACTCAGTCCAGCCCCAGTCAACAAAGTCAAACCGGTCAGAGAACAAACAGGTCTGACCAAACCCATATCGGTCCGACCCAACTCAGACCGGTCCGACCCAAACCCGACACTGTTCCAGACTTGGGTAACAAGTTGACTCTCCTATAAAAAAACACTCCACTCTTCTGAATAAGGGGAGAGCTCTTCTTCTTCTTCTTCCTTTCCCCTACCTCGATCTGCTCCTTCTCAACAAAGCAGGGCCTGAACTTTCTTCTTCTTCTTCGTCCTTCTTCCTCCCCATGTGCAACAAAAAAACTTCTACATATCTCCTTTCCTCCTCTGAACAGAAAAGAACTTCTTTCTCCTTGCAAAAAAACAGAGTACCATCTTCTTCACCCTCCATTTCCTCAAACACAGATATATAAAAAAAGCTCTCCTATTACTCTCCTTCTTAAACACGACAACGTACAAAGCAAACAAGGAAAGGAAGAGCACACACAACAAAAGATAAAGAAAAGGAGGCAGCAACAAGAGACAGATGATGAGAGAGAGGCAGACGGATAGCTTCTCTTCTTCTTCTTCTTCCCCCAAGCTTACTGCCTGGGCCTTCTTCTTCCCCTTCCTTCTTACTTCACTTCCTGAAACAAAACAAAAACAACTCACTCCACTTCTTCTTTCTATTCTGATCCATAAACACAGAGCAGAGAAACTCTGCAAAACTTCCCCTTTTCTACTTTCTGATACACACAAAGCACAACAAGAAACCAAAACATAAGAAATACGTACACAGCAGCAAAAATAAGCAAAAGAGGGCAGAATCATCAACAAACATCAAACACGAAGCTTACAACAACAAGAAAACTAAAAAGGAACTGAGGGACAGAAGGTAGCAGCGGCAACAAAACTCCCAGCAGCCATACCCTTGAACCAAACAACGAGGAAAGGTTGGTTCTTTATCAATCTCTACAGCTACCTTTCCTTAACAAAAATGGTTTTTAGAAAATCATCTAAGCAACCGACATCCATAGCGAATTACAAGCTGACAATCCTTTTTTTATAACAACAAAATAATCAACAAAACCATGATCTGATGCAATCAAAGCTCTTGTTGAGTATATACATATGGATATATTGATTAAAGCTTTTTGTATTAAACAAAACTAAAATCGACAATTACAGTATACCTATATATTTAAACATGCTCATGCTTGCTTTTAACAATTGTTTTGCCATTCTTTGTGTTAAGCATACCATCGCAAGCATATTTGAGTTAAACTCCTCACTCTAAGCTACCAAGTCAGATTTTATTAAACTTGCATTAACATGTTAATCTCCACTAACTAGAATCAAACTCCTAGAGGTATTTTGAAATACCTTTCTTTTGTTTTGTTTTAAGGGCTCTCCCTCTTATTTGGACACTTTCTAAACTTAAACCATAACATACTACAAAGCTACCACTATCACCTAAATCAAGCAAAATACCGCACACAACCACAAACCAATTCTCGAATCATAATCACCACCAACCAAATCTCGCAACCAAAATTACATGAACACCACGAAATTTCTGGAATCAAACCCATATCACACACCAATAATCTCAAGTTCCAAAACCATCACAGATTTGCAAACTCCCCATATTAACCCCAAATACACAAAACAAAAATAATCAGAAACCAAAACCTTACCATTCAACTCACTTCTCCCACCACCGGCGAAGCTCAGAGTGCGGTCGATTCTCCAATCCTTTCCTTCTCCCTCGGTCAAAATCAGATACCAAAACTGATGAGAACCCTAAACAACCAGTCGAACCCCCCCCCAAATTACAACATGCATAAACTTTAAAGGGTAAGCTCACCTTAATCACCACCGTCATTACCATCGTCGGCGTCCATCTCCGATTTTCCATGCGCCTCTGTCCTTGTCTCCATCGTCGTTTACTTTAATCGTTTCCAACAGAGGAAACCAGCGGCTGCCTAGGGTCGATTTAGGAGTAGAAGTGGAGTTGGGGACTTTGTTTTAGGTGAAATGGAAGAAGAAGAAGAAAGAAGATCGAGAGAAGGAAGTCATTTGTATTTGTTCTCTGGTTCGTCTTTGAGAGGAAAGAAGAATGAGAGGGGAAGTCGATTGATAAAACTGGATAGGCGGCTAGGGTTTTGATCTCTAGGGTTATAAACTCGGCCATCGGAAATGACATGTTCACCCTTCTAGTTTCGTCTAATTACCCGCTGCCACTCTCTGATTGCTTCCGTGAAATCAAAAAATTATGGTCTGTGAAGCCTCGAACCATGGACCCTGACCTCACTAGTTGCTTAAGGTCAAGGCAATCAACCACTAAGCTATGTTATCATACTTCAACTTTAATCTCTTCATTTCTATTTACTTGTGCTTAATCTTAATACGCAATATTTCTATCGACTAATCTTGCTAAGATTTTTTTCTTTGACCAAATTATGTATGGCTTCATTATTCATACCCATGCTCGTTTTACTTAGAAAATATCTTAATACGAAATCATGATAAACAAACCGTAATAGTTGCTCTCGATGGAATCATTTGAAAGATGGTTTTACCATTCAACTACTAAAGTTGAAGCATCATAAATACATTACCTAATAACTCAAATTATCATCTTAGCCACGATCAATAGAACGTGTTAAGGTCGCTTTTACAAAATAAATTAATTAATCGAACTACGTGGACTTTGATCCCGACTAAGTCGGGTACGTAGGCAACCAATAGGTTCGAGTCCAACCAATCTAAAAAATATTTTTACATCAATAGACGTGAAAATTATCAAGTAACTACAACAATTCAAAATTTACGTCCAATTGGACTCTAAAAATATACCCAAAATTATTAAAATAATTCAATTAAATACATCAATAAAGCCGCAAATAATGAAACACACAACCTTTAAAAAAACTTATCGATTTAAGTAGTACCCATTTGGGGCGTTGTGGGGTGTGAATACACTTCCCCACACGTAACTGTACTCCTGAACCCAAATTACTAAAATTCGCAAACCAGAATTCTGGTTTTAACAAAAAAATTAAAACCGGAAATGGGTGTTCGATCCACCCCAAGTAAGTTCGATGGCGAATCCGATCAGTTCGCAACGGTTCCTCCGATCTCGAGGGGCGGTTGCGACAGAGGTGTTGTCCGAGGTTCAAATGTCAATTTTGCGCGAAGACAGGTCGAAAAATCGGGGCTTTGGAATTCCACAGGGCCAGGCCTAAATTCCACACAGCCGTGTGGAATTGGCCTTTGGCCGGGTGAAGGCCCTCGAAGTTCCACACGGGCAGCAGGGGTCCCCAACACGGCCGTGTGGAAACCTCGGCCAACCCGTGTGGATTTCTCGACGTCACACGGGCAAAAACCCAACCCACACAGCCGTATGGCCTGCCCGTGTGGCCGACACGGCCGCGTTGGCCAGAATTTCTATACCCCTCGCCGGAATCCTCTCCCTCTCGCCGGAAAACTGCGCCCCTTCACCTCTTTGGGGATTTTCCGGCCATTTTTGGTCGATTTTTCACCAAACCAACTCCACACCCACCCTTCCCTCCCCATTTTCGGCCTATCCCTCGAATTTGAGGCGATTTGGACCGTTTTTGAGTCTGTAGACACCACATTTTGTCCGGGCGATTTACTAATTATTGCGACAAAATAAAAAGAGTTGAGAGCTCGATTTGTCTTTGGACTAGCAATAGCAAATCCTAAACATCATTTCAATCAAATATACTTAAGCACAAAATGGTTTGAAGTTGAACTTTGGTGGTTTGCTTTGATTAAACGAGATTGGATTTGGAACGTTATAATCATCTAAATTTGGACTTCAAAGGAAATGTACGACTAAATGCATGGCTATAGCTATAGGTGTCAAAACATAGCCCGACCAGATTAACCCGCTCGATCAACCCGACCCGCAATCCGAATTGACTAAAAGTCAACAACCTGTAACCCGCCCGACCCGCAACCTGATTGACCCGCAACCCAACTAACCCGCAACCCAACTAACCCGCAACCCGATTAACCTGAACCCGATTAACCCGCAACCCGACTGACCCGCAATCCGATTAACCCGAACCCGATTGACCCGAACCTGGCTAACCCGTAACCCGACCGACTCAACCCGAATTTCATCTAATCCACTTGAATAATTACAAAAATATACAATACATATTTTTTCAAAATAAAGTTTTTCATTCTAAACTTAAGTAAAATTATTTTTTCATTTCGTATAAGAAATTTAAAAAATATGAAACTCACTTGATATTACGTATTTTAAGAAAATTACAAAAATTGAAACATGAAAATCACTTGAGATCATGACAATATTAATATAATATATAAATTAAAATTTTGGTTAATTTAACTATTCAATAAAATTATCAATTAAATATAAATAAAGTAAAGTAATGTATTTGGTAATTTGATGTTTTTAAAAGAAGAGGGAAATTTTGGTGTATTCAAGTTTTTGGGAAGAGAAAGAAGAGGGAAATTTGGTTCTTTGAATTTTTTAGAAAAGAAACAAGTGTGAATTTTGGTGGTTTTGATATGTGGGAAGAGAAAGAAGTGGGAAAGTTTGATTGTTTTGATTATGAAAGAGAAATAAGCAGGGAAACTTTTGACTTTTCAACTTTTTGTAAAGGAAAGAAGTGGGTAATTTGGTTCTTTCAATTTTATGGAAGAGAAAGAAGAGAGAAAATTGAGTTTTTCTAATGTATGAAAAAAGAAAGAAGGAGGGAAATTTTAGTATTTTTGTGAAAAGAAAGAAGGAAACAAATTTGGTGTTTTTAATTTTTTGGGTTTTCATAATTTTAGCTTTTGAAATATGAATCTTTAACTTTTAAATGGAGGGCATGACTAGTTAAAATTATTCTTATATGCTTTAAAGACTAATATGTATATATGTATGTGATTGTTTATGGGCTAATAAATAAATTAACCATTAGTTACAACAATTTATATTAAACTTGATAAGTAATTTTTGACGGTTCGTTGTTTAGGATATAAAGTATATGGTTAGGGTATAAGGTATAAGGTACATATGGTTTAGGGTGTATATGGTTAGGGTATAAGATATTGATGGTTTTGACGGTTCTAAGTTTTTTATTAACATATGTTCACTTGAAGTCATTTGAAGTCTTTAACGGCAGGAGATCCCTTTTTAATTTATGTTTATGGTACGTGGTTAAGGTACAAGGTATGTGGTGTAAAGTATAGGATATATGGTTAGGGTATAACAATTAGCAAATATCACTTTTTATCTATGTTTTGAAAATCAAAGTATGAATTTCACTTTTAAATTAACTATACTAGCAAAATCACAACTCAAGGACATATGGTTAGGGTATAGGGTATAGGTTATGTGGTTAGTGTATAATGTATTGATGGTTTAGGGTATACAATCAACAACATATACTAACTTAATATTGTTGATTGAGGGTAAGGCTAAGTGTATAGGATATATGCTATTGAGTAAGTTATGATTGAAGTCACAATAATTTTACTAAATTTGATAGCTAATCTTTAATGGTTCAATTTTTAGGATAATTCGAACAATTTTACAAATAACTCGTTTGGCAACAGTTTACTGAAGTTATTTGGGCAATGAGTTTATTCGAAATAACTCCTTTTATCACTATGCTTTTGCCAAATACCACACGCCAAATACCAGATTTGCATGGTTCACTACAGGAAAACTAATTTCTAGTCACGGGATCTTATTCACGGGAATGTTTCCCGTACTAAGAAGTACACTAATAGTCGCGGGAAAAATTCCCGTAATTGGTGGTATGATTTTAATCACGGGAATCAATTCATATTTTTTTTAGTATTCATTTCCCGTGATTAATACTTAGTCATGGTTAATTACTGTGAATAATGTGAAAATTTATCTTTAACAATAATTATTCAAATTATAAGAGGGAGAATTGTTTGACTCCAAATTTTACCTTGGTTGAAAAAATTGTTCAGAATTATAGGAGGGGGAATTATCTGGCTCCAAATTTGAAATTTTACTTTGGTTGAAAACATTTGTTCTGGCTCCAAAATTTCATTTTCTACCCAAAACTTTTCAGCATAGAAAATATACCCGCCTCTTTTGAAATTTTCACAATCCCTCTTCCCCCCATGTAGCACAAAATAACGAAAGGCGAAAGCCCAACTACTTACTTCACTCTTCGCCTCTTCCCATACCTCTTTCTCTTTACTTGGTGGAACCACACTTGAATACAACCAGTTTTCGTAATTAGTAATGACAAAAATTCATAAGTAATCTTGTATAGATATCACGGTTTGTAATTACCCATAGTAAATACTGTGACTAGTGATTGGCATATAGTCACCGTGAACCAGCCACTATAAATAGTAGATACCGTGACTATTGATTGATATATAGTCACGGGAACCAATTTGTCACAGTATAAACCATCTTAAAGGGAAACATCCCGTCTCTAGATGTATCTTTTCTTGGGCTTGTGCTCTAAAATTTAACATTAGTTACGGGGTTTCCTGTGATAAGTAGGTATAAATAATCATGGGAAACTACACCGTGACTAGTGGTTATACTAAACGAGATAATTTAATTCAATTACTACTGAATTAATACTAAAATATCAAATAAACAATTAACGGTGTCTTTTGGTTGCAAATATTGATATCACCATTACTATTAGCTATAATACTTTACCAATTATGATTGATTACATAACAATTTTTCAAAAAAATAAAGTATATATATACTAGGTAGAAATAAATTGGTTAAAAAATTGAGAAAATATTTGAAATTAGTGTAATAAAATGTGTAAGTTGGTAATGAGTAATGAGTTAACTTACTTGATGCGCTAGCCCGAACAACCCGAAACCCGATCCGCCCGATCCAAAACCCGATGAACCCGCAACCCAATTTGCCCGAAACCCGATTGAACCCGAACCCGATGAACCCGCAACCCGACTAACCCGCAACACGTTTGAACCCGAACCCGATGAACCCGTAACCCGATTAACCCGCAATCCGTTTGAACCCAAACTCGATTGAACCCAGCCCGAACCCGCCCGATTGACACCTATAGCTATAGCTAACTTTAGTTGTCACAATTTATTCAAAAGTTTTGTAGGGTTGATCAATTCAATAGATTTGATGCCCATATATTTACATGAACTGAAATTGAGATGACGAGAACCATAAAGAAAATAGATTGCCATCAACTAATAATTACAAATTAGTTACAATTAATCACAATAGTGGTTACAGATTGTGCAAAAATAAACAGTGTCCTGTGTCTAGGACAAAGCCCAAGTCAACCTCGG